GACTGAAAAGAAAAAAGTGAATAAACGATTTGGACTGTTATCTAGGCTACTTGATAGATGCTCCAAATTATCATTAACTGACATGCTTACTATCTACAAATTAATTATAAAACTGTTATGGATTTACAGGATAGAGCTATGTGACACCGTGAAAAAGTCTAATATCCTCAAAATTCAAACTTATCAATCAAAAGAGTTTTGTGAAAAATTGCAAGCACACCTTTCTATGTGAAAAATTACTTATTACACAAAGAATTGGACATCTATACGGTTTCAGATCCTGCAACACAATACTATAAAAAGTTCCACCAAAGACTAATTTATGGCATGAATGAAATGAAAAAATAATTTTATTCTGGGACTAAAGTCTCCTAAGAATAAAAATAATATGGTACAAAACATTGGTCCTTTGGTCTGGTTTGACAGAATACAAAGAGGTCATTTGAATGTTAATTTCAATTGTAATCGCAATCATACCTGAATAACAATAGTAAACACTATAACACTAGTACATTTTATATTGTTTACATGTACACAAAGAAAAAGTAAATGAAATAAAATTAAATGAAACTTGTCGATTAATTGTTAGTGAAAAGTTGTAATTACAGAAATCGATAAGTATTAAATAGATACAGAAGTTTGAAAATGAAGTAGGTGGTGGAATAAAAGTTGTTTGAAGGAATTTAAGGTTGAGGATTGCTGTATGGGGATGGGTAAAGAGAGTTAGGACAAATGATGAAGGATTTGTTGAAGGATGTAGTTTTATGAGAAGGGATATATAAATCAATAGGATGAGATCTGGTGTTAGCCTTTATTCTTAAGAACTGCAAGGAGGGTTATAGTGTTGCTAAAGCCTATCGACCTATAAATCTAACCACCTTTGTATTTAAGATACTGGAGAAGTTGGTGGCAGTTCACTTACCTAATAAGGTGCTGCCTTATTATCCATACATCCAAACCAACATGCTTATCTCCAGGAAAAATCTACGGATACAGCCTTACAATCTCTTATAGGGAAAATAGAAAATGCCCTGCACTTCAAGGAGTCTGCACTAGGACTCTTTTTCGATATAGAAGGGGCATTCGATAAAACTTAATCAGAAGCAGTTTGTAAAGCCTTAGAAAATATATCTGTCCCAACTGGACTTATCAGGTGGGTAAGATTTGTACTAAAAAATAGAATTATTGTTTTTTCAGAAGTAGCCAGGTGCGGGCGGTGAGTGGGTGCCCCCAGGGGAGCTGCATCTCACCTCTGCTGTGGTACCTTGTAATGAATGACTTATTAAATAGACTGGAGGAAGCTGGGATCTATACCAAGGCATTCGTGGATGACGGAGCGATCCTCATCACAGGAAAATTCATGAGTACTATCTTTGAACAAATGCAAGTCCCTTGCAACATGGTTCAGTCCTGGTGTACCGATATGAACATATCAGTCAACTCACTAAAGACTGAGTTGATTCTCTTTACGAAGAAACGCAAAATGGATACTTTCAAGGCTCCAAGCTTCTTTGGTAAACAACTTCAACTAAGACAAAATGTCAAATAGTTGGGTATCACCATAGATTAAAAACTAAACTGGGGACCAGATTTGACAGAAATTAAAAGGAAAACAATAATAGCCTTTTGGCAAGTAAGACGTGCTGTAGATATAACTTGGGGTTTTAACCCTAAAGTCATGCATTGGATATATACGGCAATAATAAGACCAAGAATACAATACGGAAGCGTGGTGTGGTGGGTAGCCCTAAATAAGGCCACTCATATGCGAATGCTATGTCGAATGCAAGGAATGGCCTGCATTAGCATTACTGGGGCATTCCGCACTACACCTACAAAGGCTCTAGAAAACTTATTGTCATTGATTCAGCTACACCTATGGATAATGGGTGAGGCGGCTATGGCATTTTTAAGAATGAAGGACAATAGACAGTGTAAATCAACAGAGACATGCACTGGCCACTTAGAAATAGCCAGGAAGGTGGAAAAAGAGTTACCTATCTTACGGTATCTCTCTCCGCCGCTTGACAAAAACCTTACTCTAGATAGTAAGGTCAGCTACCTGTACCCTAACATAATAGATTGGGCACAGGGGACATTAGTACGGTCAATTTACTAAGTTTTATCGCCAATATATCATGGTTCTTGTGTTATTAGCCTTAACATCTTAAATTAAGATTTTGTTTTAGTGTCATAAATATGTAAAAAGTCAATAGAGATCCATTTAGTAGATATGTTAAAGCAGTTAATTTCTTTCTTAAGTACAATAATTTAACCCTTTGACGACAAACAGGATACATGCCTTCCCGGTAGTGAGTTGGGTCACTGATGCGGCCGGGATATATACCTTCCCGCATGGACAGTCGCCACTTAAACAGGTAGGGGCAAGTCCCGCCTTCACCATTTGACTTGTGGTTTGGTCGGTGCATTCTTTAGTTCCCTGTAGCTAACTTAATGCTGTCGTACTGGATTCTGACAATTTGGAAGCTATCAGTTGCAGATTTATTCTGAACCCAAGGTATGTCCTTTCTCTGTTATTTGTGTATCTTATTTATATTCTATTTAAATGTTTTATACATAAAATAAATGTTAATAAGTTGATTTTATATTTTTTTTTAATTTTGGTTTTGACTAGATGTTGATTTTGGTACATGTGAACTCTGTAATATTGTAAAGTCCATCAACATCATTGATGGACTTTACAATATCTCAATTTTCTATCTAACTACTCCATTCTCAATGTTTTAATTTTACTATTTATTTTCGTTTCTTATATAACTTTATATTTCTTTTTTTATGTTTTACATTATATTCTAAGATTCCCATTGTAACACTTTTGTCACCCCTTTTTGATTATGCCTACTTCATCATTCCACACTTTGTAACGGTTTTTATTATTTATCTCTTAGTTCTTAGTCATTATTCTAACAATTTCATTTTACTTTATATTTATCTATTTTATTTTTCTAATTTTTTTTATTTTATTTTTTTATATTTTTTACCATCATTACTTATGTTTCTCATACCTTGTTATCTGGTTATTTTCTTAGCCCTGATGAAGGCCTGAACTTCAGGTCGAAACGTCGGCATATGTAAAAAATAAATATTATCATTTATTTTTTGCCTTCCTTTTTGACTGAACACCCCAACTATTCTTCTCTTCATTAAATTATCGTACTTAAGAAAGAAATTAACTGCTTTAACATATCTACTAAATGGATCTAGACTTTTTACATATTTATGACACTAAAACAAAATCTTAATTTAAGATGTTAAGGCTAATAACACAAGAACCATGATATATTGGCGATAAAACTTAGTAAATTGACCGTACTAATGCCAACAATTAATGAACACACATTTTTCTTTAATGGACATTCTATTAAAAACATAGAAGAAATGGCTTTCTCTCTCCTGTTAGAGAACACAAGAAGACCTAGATTATATTTTCTAAAGGACCTAAAGGAGGTTCATACTTAAAAAAATATAGAGGCATACGAAAAACATGGGAGAGACCAACAGTACAGCCTCTCCACTGACTTAGCTTTTTTTTTTTTTTTTTTTTTTTTTACTATTTTAGTCTTTTTATGACCACTATACAGGACCATCTCCTGACTCAATAATATACCACAGTCAACCACTAAGAATTCAATCCAATAATTTAAATTATGTCCATTTTTTCTTACTAGTCAGGTTATATTTCATTCTTCAATCCAAATTAGGCCTCAGGTAGACTCAATCTATGATAAGTCTGCGGGTGGACAGAAGGGGAGAGAGATGCGCTGTGGCAAAACATTTTCCTGCCAACCCCCCCCCCCCCTCCCACTCTTATCTACTCATTTGCACATATTTCTATAACTTTTTTTACAAGTAGAAAATTCTTTTATCATTTTGTTCTAATTTCTTTTATCAATTTTCATTTATTATGTCTAATAAACTGCTTAACGGGAAAACTATTCACTCTCAGACAAAAAATGGAATTTTGAATATGAATAAATTCATGAAAACAGAGAGTATGGGAGTATTCTTCTTTCTTTCTAAATTTGATTATTTAATCATCCTTGCCATTGTTTTTATTTTATTTTTAAATCCCTACATTTAATAAACATTTGTGCGAAATTTGAAGAAAATGAAATTATACTTTCCTGGAATAAGGTGGTTGCTATGTTGAAGAGGAGATGTGGAATTGGAGAGAAGTCACGGGGAAGTGGAGTGAGGGAAAACTGTGCGAGCTCTCTTTCCCTACATGCAAACTAATCTTAGATGCACTATGCTAGTATTCCGGGATCCCATGGCCTTTCTATAAATGTAATTTTTTTGTTGTTGTTTTTCCAATACTATAAGTATAGTTGAGAAGATTTTTTTTTTTTAGTATTTTATATACTATTATTTAAGTTGTTGTATATATGAACAAGATTCTATGAAATATAGACACCTTTTTTGCCATGGGCTCCAGGACTATAAACTTTGTCAATTTGTGAAATTAGGGAATTGTCGAGAAGGTTTGGTAAATTAATTATTATATTTAATCTATATATGATTATGTATTTATCGAAACCCGGTTTTAAGCCATTTTCAAAAATTTGTTTCTTTTTTGAAAAAAAAAATATATAAAAAGGGGTTTTGATAAATACATAATCATGTATAGATTAAATATAATAATTATTAAAAAATATTACAAGAACATATGAATAACCAAAATAAGGTTGTTTATCATGAAAATAACCAATATCTTTTTATAATGATAACAGGATTAAATAAAAAAAAATTAAAGGATTCTTTTGTATCTATATGCTCAACAATATCATAAAATGAAGAGAAGCTTTTTATTTATCTAAATCTTAGGCTTAATATTTCCTAATAATAATTAATATGGAAGATAAATCAAGTACTTATCATAATAAAGAATTTAAATTTTAGTTTTATTTGGCATAAATTAAGAATGATAAATATTCATCAATTATTAAATAACAGTTTTCTAAGACAAATGAAACAAATACCTCAGGCAGTGAGGTGTCATAGGGATATGGGGCTGGACGTGAACTCATCGCGAGCCCCAATGAGTTGGGTCAGCTTGTCTTTAATCTTCCAACTTCGTCGTAAACCATCCTTTGCTTCTCAGCATTAATCTGAAATCATTCAGAAGTAATTCAAGAAAATTAAACATATTGTTTAACAATAAAAATAAACAAATAGAATATGTATATATAATTTTTATTAATTCTTTAAATCTCTTAGGAGAGACATGGGGCTGCTATGAAGTTCTGCATGGCATCCTGATCTTAAGCAAGGCCCTTTACTCCAGATCAGGTCTGTCAATATGTGTTTCACTCAAGACTGTGTCAGGTTATGTCATGCTCCTTTCTAGGCGTGTGCCTCAGCCATTTTCTTTTCCAAAATTTGATTACCTGATTTATCAGGGCTTGATTAGTTTGCTAATAGAATTCAGCATTGATGATATATAAATAAAAAAAATTGAGGAAGGGAATAGTGGATGGAAAAATGTTCAGAAAAAAAGGGGAAAAAGAGAATAAAAAAAATTACCACGAGGTATAAAGATGAAGTGCCTAATTTTAATCACTGTTTTCGATAGGGAGCAGTGAAGAATACACCGTGACAATAAATCTTTTTACTGCAACATTTAGGAGAAGTAGAGAGTTAGTACTTCCAAAATATTCCTCATGTCTATTTGCACTGTACCAAACCTATCTATTATTACTCTAAGGTATTGAAAGCAGGACTTACAAATACGAAGTTTGTATTTTTAAAAATTAGATGGTGAAAAAGTTATTAATTATAACAATATAGAAATAGAATAAATTGAAAATAAACCTTGCAAGCTTTATTAAACTGACATTTCAAGGTTCAAAAGTATCTTATTATATAAATGGATAATTAAATTCTCTATTTAAAACTCAATGCTTATCTTTAATGGTCTTTTGAAGTTGTTCCAGGATTTGTTTATTTCTTTCTAAGAAACAGAATAAATTTGGTTTGAGCTACAACATTAGAAGTTATTACTTCTGGATACTTTTTTTTTTACCTTTTAGCGACAATGAGTGGGAAAGATTGAGCGTTCTTGATGACGGAATACTTTTCATTACTCCAACTGACCACTTCACGTTTTTATTTAAATCAAAGTGAATGAGATGGAGTATAGATAGAACATTTGTTTTTTTCTTTATATCAGTTACACACAAGACCAGGAGTCTTAAGACTTTTTGGCCCGTGGAACACATTGAGACCTTGACTAAGTTCTGCTGGTCACATTGTGACATCTATTAAAATCTGCAGGCCATGGTTTGTAATGAAAAAAAAATCTTGCTCTATAAATGACACTTCAGCTCTGAAATGAGCTAAAAGAAAAAAAACATGAAATAAATGTTGTAACCTTCTGTGAGTAATTAGATAAATTTAATATTTTTAAATATTTTTTTAAAATTTTACTTTGTAATTAAAGATTACTACAAACTTTAAACTACAAAGATCAAAATTTCTTGGGCCAGATTGAAGGTGCTTGCATTAGACCATTCCAATTCACCAATCACTTTCAAATATACTCAAATAGGTCATGAAATAATAGGGAATCAGTTTTTTAAAATTGGTGGTTTTTTTACTAAAAAATATTTCGCCTTAAACAGATAGGGTATGAGCTCACTCTTTTTGCAGTAATTTCTTCATTTGTTTTAAGTTGAAAATAATGAAAACTTCTAGTTCTGGCTATGTTTCACCTGATTTAAATTGAATATCTTGAATTTCTCTATTATTTTCACTATATTCTTAAGTCAAGAAGAAAAATTATATTCTATGAAAAAAACTACTAAGATAGACATATATTTGTTTAGCATTTACAATCTGTTCACTTTGTCTTATATTTTGGATATTTCTCTTTGGAATAGTTCTTTCAACTATTACATCACACCTTCCATGGCCTGTAGCATGAAAGGAGCAATTTTCTTCAATCTCTATAAACTAAAAAGCACTTCTCCTCTCCAATATTATTTTATCATAAGAAACAGAATTTAATGCTGTTTTCAATAATTTATAATTGCATTAAAACATCTAGAGAGAAATTGTAGGCATCTTTACTTGTACTTAAACTTATGAGTTTAATTTCGTTTTAATTATAAAAATCTGGAGCGCACAACACACAACTTTCACTTACCTCTCCAGTATGAATAAAAATTATTTTCTGGCAATGTTGAGCAATTAAAAAATTTTTGAAGTGCACTTTTAACAGAGCTACACCTTACAGCAAACAAATGATTAAGACCACTAAAATAACAAAATCCTATTAATTATATCAATCCATCTGTTTTTGTAAACCACATAACTCAGGTCTCTGAGAGTGTGCCTAGAGATTTGATTGAGGCTGTAAAGTCAACCTATCATGGAATCACTGGAATGGTAAGGATAAACAGCACAGAATCGAAACGTTTTCCAATTGTAAGAGGAGTTAGAAAGGGAGATATTTTAAGCTACCACTTGTTTATAAATTTTATAGATGAAATTCATAAAATCTACAAGCATTGAACTACCAGAACTGCAATTGGAAAATGAGAACTATCCTCGTACAGTCTTTTATAAGCGGATGACATCCTAATAGCAGATTCAAAGATAAAACTACAGCAAGCACATCAGTGCTATTCTATCGAAAATGAGAAGAAGAGCTACTGAGGAAGGGCATGAGAATTAATGGCGCCAAGAGAAAAATGTTGATTAAAACAAGAGAAGAACAGGAAGACATCCAATCAGTCTGTGATGGAGAGGCTCTTGAGGTCGTGAAGGAATAGACTTACTTAGGGACTGTAATTAGTAGTTCTGGCAAGATAAATGCTGAGATCTTGAACAGCACAACCAAGACATTTTCTATTTCATCCACTTCATGATAGCAGCCAGTCTCTCATGAGTGGTGTTAGCTTGTTTCATAAATATGTTTGTTCCATTTTGCTTAATAATAAGTAAAACCACTTGGAGCAAAGTATGGTATTTCTCCTCATTAATTTTTCAATAATTTGCCCGATCATAGGCTTGATTGTGAGTTATTTCAATAGCTTGGGAAAACCAAAGAATATACCAACTTTTTATAGCCTAGGTATAAAGATAGAGATGAATTGGGTTGAGGTTCAGCTTCATCTTCTACTTCTTCTATTAAGAGAAATTTAGCTTTGAGAAGTATACAAAGCACCTAGTGAAGATAATCTAGACTGCTTTGAGTGCTCTCAGCCAGCTGCCAGACTGAGCTGTTATACTTAATTTATCTTTATACAGCATATTCCTTAAGTAAAGGAAAATATTTTAGAAGATAATGGTAAACATTAAGAGCTACAAAAAAGTTCATATAACCTATGGTCCGATTTTCTGCAGAAAACTAGGAAATTTAATTTTTGTGTTTTTTTAAGTGTCCCGTTTTTTGTTGAATAGGCAGTGTAAACTAAAAAAATATTTAATTTGAGTAATTAAAAATTGCTCCACAGTAAAAAAAAACACTTAAATTTCCTACTTTTCCATGGAAAATCGGACCACTGTTTATATAAATGGTTTTGTAGATTCTGACGTAAAGATTATTTTCTCCTTCAGTAAATGAAAAATATGCATATCCCTCATAAAAGTAAAAAAAAAAAAAAGTTATGTAGAGAAGAAAAAATTCTCAACGAAACGAAAAATCCACTCACACAACCGAATTAACATGCTTGGTGAAAATCTGATACAATATTTTCTGCAGTATCATCTCTAATATTGTTCTGATAAGACCTTTTTTTTTAAATTCCTATTTCAGGTTTATATTCTGAAGGAGAAATCTGTTACGAGTCTTACAGTTAAGACAGTTTGAGTATCCTTATAATTAACAACTGCAATACCCTAGGACATAGATAGGGAACCTTTTTATCATTAGAGGCTTCAGTAAGGTTAGGCAGTGCTAATGGAGGCTGCAATAATTCTTTATATTTTACTGTTGCTATTTTTATTTATCATAAAATACACACACCCACATACATACCTTCAACTTAATTCTATTAATTTCCAAATTGTTACTATTTAAATTATTAAATTCTAGCACTAGATTAATAAATATCGGGCAAAAACATTTGGAGACTGCGACACCACAGAGACCACACCTATGTTTCAGGAGAAGTACAGTTGTTGATTATAGTCTACAGTAAAGGCACCATTTGATCAAATTATTAATACTCACCTAAAACTTTGAGAATAGTAACGAAAATTCTAGGAAATGAACTATTTTCCATCATAAAATAAATAAACCTGTAAATTTAATGAGGTACTAAAAACTAATAACACCCATTTGCTTTCCACTTAACTCATAAGATAATTTGGATGTTGATATACATTTGAAAGGAGCGGGGTAGCTCAGTGGGTGAGCACTGACTTCCAGAGCTCAAGGTCCTAGGTTCGAATACGGCTAATGACTAGTAATTTTTCATTATCTGTGGATCGACCCTGGGATCAGGAGACCCTCCAGGGGCACACCCAGCCACTATAAAATGGGTACTCTTAATTTAAAAAATAATTAAGAGGGAAAATATGGCGGTTGAGCGTGATATCGACCCCATCACCTCCCTGCACACCCGTTGATCTTGTAACAGTACTTTCTCACATTGTACTGAATCCAAGACCCTGTCCCTTCTTCATGGGTTGTAGTGGTACAGATATATATTTGAAGTATATATAAATAAATTTATTTGACCGCACCCCCTGACCAACTCCTTCTCACATAAGACAATTTGATTACAAAATTAAGAATAAAAGGTAGCATAGAAAAATATTAGGCTGTTCGGCATGACTTCCATTCCCAACATGTCAAAATAATGAGGTTATGAAAATTTATGAACTTCGAGCTAATTTCCACATTATTGTATAATAAAGATGAGTTAATCAAATGGTGGAAGAGAAGGATGGTTGGGGTAATCAGTCAAAATAAAATAGTAAAAATAAAAAATTGAATTTATTTTTACATTTGCCGACGTTTCGGCCCTAAGTCCAGGCCTTTATCAGGGCTGCTCTAGCAACAAGCATAGACAGACATACGTATTGTAGCGTATATATACGCTACAATATGTCTGCCTGTCAATGCTTGTTGGTGGAGCAGCCCTAATGAAGTCCTGAACTTCGGGCGGAATGTTGGGGAATGTAAAAATAAATACAATTATTTAGTTTTACTAATCAAATGGTCATACATAGGCCATTTCTTTACACCTTAAAAATTCAATTTTGTAAGTGCTTAACTGATTAACACCCTTTATTTATTAATTTTTTTCCTTTTATAAGAACATGTTGATATATATGTGAATAGGTCATATTTGAAAAAAAGAAATCCACCAACATATTACAGTAAATTTAGTGATTAGCCGTAACATTGAAGAAAATGAAAACTGAATTTTGTCACAATTACTCTTTTTCCTTCCCATAGGGGTTTTAAATATGATAAAAATAAATTGAATAGATCCAATGAAAATTATGAAGATTTATATAGATAATCAACCCTCAGAAGTGCAGGATAAAAAGGAAATGCGGGACCCTTCTGAATACCAGATATCTTTTTTTAATTAACTGACCTCAAATTAAAGTTGCTATTGAAACTACATTTATTCTCAAAGCAGATATATTTGATTATATTGGTCTATTTTTGGGTTTTAAAAAAATAAACTTTGCAAATTTTCTTGAACAGTATAGAATGAATTTAATTTAATGAAACTTTTTTTATAAACAGTTCTATTCTGAAACATTATAGTTAACACATTGGAAGTTTTCCTCGACGTAGTAAGGTACCTAAAATAAATAGAACTATTATAGACTCAACCAGAACATTGATAGACTAGATAACCAACCAGGAACAAGAATGCAGAAGAAGAAAATCATTAATAACCTAAATTTTCTTGAAGTCCATTCAGAATTAATAATTCAATGTTCTCTTGCTTCATATAGTTGCTGTTCATATTGAAAAAAAATAATAATGTATAACTAGTAACTAATGATTTGTTGATAACATTTTGTCGATGATACACACAATTAAAATAAATTCCCATTTTTTTGGGTTCTTTTTAGAGGAAAACAGTATGTTCAAAGGATATGAACAACTACATGTTAAAATAAAATCATTCAGTCATAAATGAATATATGAAAAAAAAAAATTAAAGCCTTTCAAAATGCCTTCTTTGAGAAACATAAAATCAAAGTAATATATTTTGATGTAAAGATAAATACTAAGGAGATTATGGTTAACGTTTTATCAGGTTTATTTGGTAACATTGTTCAATTCACAAGTATAGATGAAAAAGTCACAACCAAATGTTTTAAAGTTTACTAAGAAAAATATTTGAACTCACATAATAAAATTACGGCAAATGACCGAAAAAATATTAGAAGACATCTGAAAATGCACAAAAATGGAAAAATTAAAGAAATAACAAAAGTAAATTCTTAAATTTCAACTAATTAGAAGATACATTATTAGTTTCATCAACTTATTAATACCCAGAAAATTGTGGTATTCTTAATTAAGTAAAAAGAAAATGTTTTGAAATTGATTAAAAAATAAAACGGTCAAAACCAATTTATAACAGAAAGTTGAATTCAGTTTAAAACTTCATACAATATAGAAGGGAAACAATATAAATATATAATTATTCAGTAATAAAGATTATAATTTTGACTAGTAAAAATGTAATTTGAAAAAACGATTAGGGTGAAGGAAATTTTTAAGAAATATAAATGTATTATCTAATTAAAGGAGATACACAAGATTTATTTACTAATAAATGTTAACATGGCGACGAAAAATATAAGAGTAATTGAATTAAAAACAAGATTTTGCCATAATTAAAACATTGTTTCTCTTTAATCAGCGGACATCTACTGATTAAAAAATGGGCAAAGAACATACCTTGTTAATCCCACTAATCTGTAATACACTTCCACTGATAAATAAACAGGGACAGATATTTCATGCCTTTAACACTAGGGGCGCATTGCCGTCTTCAAAGAACGATGTAAAGTTACGTAAAATTAATATTTATGCAGAAATTTTAAAAGACCTGTCATAGTAAATTTAAAGTTTTGAAATTTGCCTTGATTTTAAATTTATTCTTTCTAAAGTTAACTATTTCCAATTTCAAAACCAATGAAGTGGTACATTGAATGGTCATGTTCTTGAATGAGTGTAATCTGTGCTTTGGATTTTAAGTACAAATGGTGTCTAATGAAATTGTGTATACTTCAAAGAGTGAAAAGACAGTGATGGGAAGTGTTTATAAGAAGTTGAAAGTTTATTACTAACTTATCCTATAATGAGTTGATCAGTTTTAAAGATAACATAAGTTACAATACTATCATTTATATATTTAGCTTAGAAAGTGTTCTTTTAGTATTGACATCTCTAATTTTTCAGCAAATGATTTCAGAGTAAGAGCTCACTTAGTTTTCAGCTATTAGAATTATCAATAGCCAACTGTATTTAGATCTCTAGTAAATCTAGTTTTTATTTATTAGGTTGCAGATTTTAACTTAGCCTGTGTTATCAGTGACAGCTTTTTCTTCATGACCTCAAGAAACCAATGGGAAGTTGCTTTTCTCGAGGAAAGGGCCGTACTTCTGTGCCCACTTCGGTAAAAGACAAAGAAGGTACAGCTGATTAAATCTATCTTGCAAAAAAAATGAGAAAAATTAGTTTGAACCAAAATAAACCCGAAAATGCATTTTTATCATTCCTAAACCTCTTATTGAGCAGCTAATTAATTTAATGAAGTACATCACGATAACTAGCCCATCAAACATAACCTTTTTTTTTGTTTTAATCATCTTGTGTCTCAAAGGTGATAAAAATACATTTCTGCTCGATGAAAAAGCCCTACTAATGACTGCCAGAAGAGAAAATTTAATGATGATGCCACAAATTCTTTGTAAGAGACCCTATAATATGACCATTTTACTGCAAAGTAAGCCTAATCCGATTAGTTAAAATATTTAATGTAATTATATAGTAAATGTAAAAACGAAAGATCTTTCTATTATACATATTTTTATACTGCTTTTAAGTACTAGAAATATTTGTCATTGAATTATTAATTAGATCAAATGTTGGTTACAGGAAAAAGTGTGTAATGAATTAAAAAATTAGCAAAACTCGAAAATGTCTAGTAATAGTTATTACTATTTTTACATTGATTTTTTTAAAATAAAGTAGTTTTATTTGCAATTGATTTAATTTTGTAGTTTTCGCTACAAATTAAACATCGATGGCAACTAGTATAAACATCTTACGGAAGTTGTAGGTAAATATTTAAAGAAATGTTGGAACTTTTGGAAAATATCTAATCTAGCTTGGCAGTAATGGTTTAACTAAACTTCAAATATACATAAAAATTACCGAATATAAAAAAAAAATCAAGGAGAGTTAATAAATAAGGAATTATACTATGTTATCAGATCTTAAATTTTATTTTACTCAAGATATGTGCATTAACAACTTCTGTAAATGATCATCAGTGTCTTTAAGAGAAAGTTATTGATCCTATCCCGTGATGAGGAGGAAATAGTGGAGGTGGACTGTAACGTTGAGGTTCTCGAAGTGATTGAGAACTTTAGCTACTAGCACAAAAATGCATAGAATAGGCAAAATAAATTGGGGAATAGCAAATAGAATTGGTAAAGCCAACTAAATCTGTTAAAGTATTTGTAACAGCATTATTGGCTATCATGATGTGGGACCTTCATATTTACAAAATGAGGCTACCTCCTTACTCTTGCTTCAGGAATGAGCGTTGGGTCATGCATGACAAGCAGATAGCAGAATCACAGGAGCTGAAATGAGATACTTATAATTTGGTCGCAGGAAAAACTAGAAAATATTGCGTAAAGAATAAAAGGATTAGGGAGGAGCTTATTTATCTCTTGCTAAAATCCACTCCTGAAAAAAGACAGCTAAAGTGGATCACACATGTTTGTTGAATGAGCGTGGACCGGAAACCCACTAAGGTAATAGAAGCTCGACGTATTGGCAAGAGGCCCTGAGGAAAACCTAGAATTTTATATGAAGAGTACATCCAAAGGATTGAAAGAAAAACTCTCCAATCAAATCTGATGGGAAATTAATCAACTCGGCAGAGACTGTAAGGCTTGGCAGCTATGGATTGAGGTACCTCCATGCTATGGCACAAGAGGAACGATAGAGAACTTCTGTGAAGTTGACCATCATTATGGAAGTATATTAAAACACACAGCTTTTGATCAAATTTTTAGAATCTCAGAAAGTATGAGACAAATTTCATTGATATTAAAGTGTTAAATGTCATATAATGATTGAATTTTTTTTTATTTCTTTTTTGGAGAATTGAAAGATGTGAAGTAAGTTCTGAGTTATTTAAAAACACTTTTGATAACATCTAAATAACTGTGGACTTTGCTATAAAATAAACAATTTCAAAAGTTAGTAGTATTTATGTAATGGGAGAAATTATGAGATGTCTTTACTAAATAATAAATAAAAATAGTAATTTATCCTCACTTTCATGAAATTAATAAAAGCACTGTTATGATTTTTGGAGAAAATTACGGTATTAAATTTTTTGGGGGATTAAATCCCAGATGCTCTATTGGTCAAATCATTGGTACTAAAACAATATATCTAATATAAAACTAAAAAAAGTTTTATTTTAACAACTAATTATTTTTAAAAGTTGAAGTAATAAATTTTTAAGTATAAAAAGAAAAACTGATATATATATATATATATATATATATATATATATATATATATATATATATATATATACATATATACAGGGTATCCCATAAGTAGAGAGAAATATTCAAAAGATTGATAGTAGACATGAAAATCTAGAAAAAGTTGATTTAAACAATTGCCCAATTTTCAGCCAAAAAATTAGGAAATTTAAGATTTGTGTTTTTTTAAGCATCATGTTTGTTGTTGAATAGGAAGCGATAACTTAAAATATATTTGATTTAAGTAATTAAACATAGATCCACTGTAAACTAAACAAAATTTACTTTAAAAGAGTTTAAGTAGAGTTTGTCATTGTTAAAACTATTTAAAGAGGATTATTGGGCGACAAACACAGCTAAGTTCCGAAAAAAAAAGATAAATTATTTGTGGTTTTTTTTTATCACCCTTCAACTGTTCTTCATTTACTCCACTTTTAGAAAAACTTCCTCGTTTAATCAGCTTTAATATTAATTAATTTGAGGTTTATTAGGAAAAAATTTGTCTTTCACCTCAAGTTGTCTAAAGAAATTATGTGATTTCCTATCCAGTCACCTAAAAGTACCAGTGTTTTCAGCTGGAATGACAACAATTAACTGTTGAAAAATTTGTATTTCTTGTTTTTCCGTGATGAGGGATGTATTGTAAAAACATAATTACCTGAAAACACATTTTATTTATAAATATAAAAATTTTAAAAATAATCATTTCTTAAATATTTATTATGTGAAGTGGTTATGTAACTGTGTTTCTTCCAGATCTCCGTGATACGAATTGATATGTATTTATCAGTGACAAACTTAATGTATCTTATTAAAATTTATGTTTAAAATAAAGAAACCTACTGATTGCTTCAACTATTTTCATTAAACATAAATATTAGGGTTAGAAACATTTTTTTTTCTATTCATTGATATTTATAACTGTATTATAAAAAAAATACAACTAGTAAATGTGCACTCAGGAATATAACAACATGAAATCCGTTGTTGAGAAACTACCCACTGATAGCACTCAAATATAGAAACATTAAGTTTGTCAAAATCATTATTTTTAGTTTTTATAAATAAAAATTGTTTTTAGACAGCTATGTTAATTAGCAGTTAATTGTAGCTATTTTTGTTGAAAACATAGTTAATTTTGGTTGGCTGGATAAAAAAATCACATAATTTGCTTACACAATTTGAGATGAATCTCAAAATTTTTATAATAAACCTCAATTTAATTAATATGGACTTGAACCTTATTAAACAAAATTTTTTTTCTAAAAGTGGGTTATCTGTAATACAGTTGGATATATATGTATGTATATATATCATAAAAAAGTAATAAATTATTAGACATTTTTTTTTTTATTACTATATATATATATATATATATATATATATATATATGCTGTTTTTAAAAAAAATTGTTTTGACACTGGAAGCTGGTAAATCACTAAATATTTTTTTATCCTTATTTTTATTAACAACTTCATATAAAATATTTATCTTTCAACTACAATAGCATTAATACAAAAAAAAATATCTATAAGATTACTGTATAATTACATGATATATTCTAATTAACCGAATTAGAATTGCTTTAAGTAAAATTGTCACACCATAGGTCATCTATTATGTAGAATACGAGAACTCTGCCATTACATTTCTCTTTTGGCTTCTGGTAACCATTAATAAGAATTTTTGTCAGCTAGATGTTTCTGGCATATTTGAGGCATAAGATAATGGTTAAAACAAAAACTAATCTTATGCTTGATCAGCTAGTTATCATGACATAATTCATTGCTTCAGCATTTTAATAAGAGTTTTAGAACCACTGTAAGTCTGTTGTCTTCTTTAGTGTGGTTCAAACTAATTAAACTTTTTAAAAAATATTTGCAGATGTATGTTTTATGAGCTTGATTTTATGCATCAGACTCCTGGGTAATTATCAGATTGCATATGTGAATATATAAATCTTGATCAGTAGGGTAATCGTACCAGTTATGGAAAGAGGGCCTAGTGCTAGTGATGGACAGTTTGGCCATTAAATATAAACAATAAGCTTCCTGGTTGGTTTTCATCTTCCAGGCTAGAGGGCAATGCTCTCTTGTTGAACTCTTTATGAGGGAAATCCCCAAAAGTAGGTTTAAGATTAGTTATCAGTACTGTTTCTAATGTGGTCTTTGGATCAGCTGGTTTGATAGCCTCCTACTAACCGTTAGTTATATATATATGTTGTTAGTTCTTTAAATTTTGGTTATCCTTAAAATGTCTATTTACCCATTATAAAACCTCAGCAATTCAGTTTTTGCATTGAATTTTCTTTAAGTTGCTGCATTTAATGACTTTTGGGAGTTGTTCATCTCTAGTTTAAAAAAAACCTCTATCTTTGCAAGAACTCTCACATTAGATATATATCCTTCTCCTAAATATATTTGAAGTGTAAATGATATAAAAACATTATTATTTGTATAAAGAAAATATTATTATCAGAAAAATCTATTTAAAACACGATTGGTGAACCGCATGCATACATTATCATGATTATGTTGAAGTGTTGAAGTAATAGTTCATTTAATGAGTCTATTAGAAAATATTTCACCACTTGAGCAAAAAAATAAGTAAGATGGATAGATATTTAATAGTGTCATATGGTATAGTTAAATCTAAACGATTAGGATAGGTATTGTCCTATGCTAATTATACCTCTAGGACATCCCCTCCACCCTTCTACTCTAGGACCAACTCATATGCATATAAGTACCTCTAGAACCATCTCATATTCAAGATATGCTGAGTTAGAAAATAAATGAAAAAATATATATAAATATATCTTTATAATAAGAAAGATGGCTTAATGTAAGTTTCAATATTTTTTCTCTAAAAGATTTTGTTTAATAAAATTGTATTCACATAAAATTTATGAACATTTTTAAATCGAAATTTTTTTGTCATTTATTTTATCATTGTATTAACAATGGGTGGTCCCAGTTTTTTATTTATTTTTTAATTGATTTGTATTTTTTTTTTCAGAAGTAGGTTGTGATACGAATGAGCTTCAAATTGCATTGAATGGTAATAGTATAATAGAAAGTGGAACGCTGACTGCAATTAGTGTAAGTACAACTGGTCCGACAACCACGGCTTTGAATAGAGACAGAAGTGGAAGAACATTTTATACACGCATGCCTTCTGTTGGTAAAAATACTGAAGTACGAATTGGTAAAACAGTATCCGAAAGCAAGATTAATGCTTTGTTTGATAATTATAAAGATCCGGTAGAAGATAATATTCTTGCAGAAGGGATCGAAAGGCTTTGCCAAGATTTGGGCCTATCTCCAGACGAATTTAAAGTTTTGATTTTAGCATGGAAACTCGATGCTGGTCAGATGTGTAGGTTTACCAGGGAAGAATTTGTGAATGGATGTAGATCAATGTGTGTTGACTCGATTCGAGGAATCCAAAATAAATTACCCGACATTGTAGCTCAGGTAGCAGCATCACCAGATGTCTTTAAAGATCTCTACAGGTTTACATTCAGATTTGGTTTGGATCCTTCAATAGGACAACGTATATTACCAGCAGATATGGCTATTTTATTATGGAAACTCGTGTTCTCTGTTAGAGAACCTCCTATACTTCTGAGATGGCTCAATTTTCTTGAAACTCACCAGCATATTAGAGGAATCCCACGGGACACTTGGAATATGTTTTTGAATTTTTCGGAAGCTATCGGAGATGATTTGTCTATGTACGATGACACTGAAGCCTGGCCTAGTATTTTTGATGATTTCGTTGAGTATGAAAATGACCAAGCCAATCAAAATATTACTAAAGAAAAAGATGAAATCATTCACTGACATTTATGTAAGACAATAACTATGGGTTATATTTCAATCTAATTAAACAAATTTATTTTTAATGTCTGATGACAGTAAATTTCATCATTAAAATTTATATTTATATGTATACTCAAGTTTCCATGTCACTGTATGCCGGCCTTATTCTGAAAAGGATATGTATATTTAAGAAGTTATATTATATTGTGTTCATATACTAATGTATTTACAACTCTACTTTCTGAAGATGTTGATTTTGTGCCAAACTGTTTGTCTTCCAGTGAAGTCATCACAAATTTATTGTTTTATTTCTTTGTTAAATCTGCGTAATATGGTGGGTTGGACAAGAAAAAGGCCTATTTTTACTTCCATATTATTTGTAACGAACTATTTGTCTGTAATCAGTATTATGAAACAATATCTAGATGCACTAAGCCTATGCCTAAGAATGGCACACCTTATATATAGATTTTAAATAAACTTTTCACAATAGTATTGTAAAGTGTACTCTTGTTACTTTTGATATCACAAAATATTTTTGAGGCTGTACAAATGTTATTATATTAATGTGTGTGATAAGCTTTTATGAGACTAATATTTTCTTAAAAAAGAAAAAAAAAATGTTTTACATAACTATTAGTTATCCTGATCTCAATGTTTTTTGGTAGTTACGAAATTTTTTTTGTTTTATTGAGACATTAAAATTGTCCCTTATCTATTTATGCTGCATTATTTTTTATTGTTCAGACTGATTTCAAACAAAGATAATTTTTAGTTGCAGTTTTTATGATTTAAGTAAATAATTTTTGCTTACGATTATTGAAAAAAATTATTTTATTTATATGAAGTAATTTTTCTTTTAAACCTTTTATTTTTCAGCAAAGCAGCTTTGTGTGCATATATGATTTGTACGAATTTATTGATACTCTAGCCTACAATTTCTTTAATTCATGAAATAATAAACAAGCCTAGTTTTTTTATTGGAAACAAAATTATCATTATTGTTAATAAGAATAATTTGCAGTTAAAATATTTTCTAGAATATAATAAGAAAATATTGATTTAGGTACTGTAAAAATAAAAATCCTGTACCTCAGAAGTAAATTATTGTAATTTCAGACAATATTAGTGTACTTTAATTTTCTCGACGTTTAATTTGATTATGTAAAATTTAATTTATTCTTTTATAGGCTTTAAATCAGGGACCGAAACAAACAATTTTTATTTTGGTGAAATTAAAATTTTAATGCTATATATTTTTTAATTGTGTTGGAAAATAAACATTTATTAAAAAAAAATAGATTATACTTTTCTCCATTCTGATCATTTTCAAAATTTATCATATTTGATTTTTTAGTTACAAAGATGTGTTTTAACTCTGAAAAAATATTTGTTCATTTGTTTTTGAAGTTTAGTTTGTTATATGATTAATTTTTTAGGGAAAAGTTTTTTCAGTAATTAGATTTCCAAAATATCAATATTTTTTCTTTTCTTTTTGGTATGTTTTACTTTTATCTTTATCATTTCACTGTAATTAATTGCTCAATGTCAGAACCTAAAGAAGGTTTTAAGATGAAATAAAACTGGTTACAGAAAGAAATCTAAAATCTAAATATTGCATTGGTACAACACTGCTCAGATAAGTGTTTACTCTTAAGCCTTCATATTTAACAAATAATTGTGATCATTCCTATTTATATTATGAAATTTTAAATAAAATTCATCAAAATTTATTTGATTATGACAATAAATGTTCAGTATTCTACTTTTAAGATGATTTATTAATATCAAGCTTAAAGAATAAGTTGCTTCATGATACAAAGCTCTCCAATAATAGACTATGTAATTGTCTAGTTTTAATAAACACGTGCACATAAATCAGCAAAATTTGCTGTGTCATCTTAGCAGTGTTGGTTAATCGTTTTTGTTTATCTTAGTTTGTTATGCTGATGGTTTATTCTAGCAGAGTTTTTCTTTATGAATGGATATAATTTGATTTATATTAATGATATAATTTTTAACTATTTCATGAATTTCACTTGTTAGACTAACTTCTGGAAAATAATTTTGTACCATTTCAGATTTTTTTTCTATTTAGTTGTTTTGTTTTTTTAAAGTTTATTCTTGTTTTTCTTGATATTAATTAATTAACTTTTTGCATTTTCCTTCAGCATTTTTTACAATTACTGAGTATTATAATTAACCTGTCAGTATGTTTACTACTTAACTTTCCTATTCAAACCCAGCTACATAATTAGTCTAAAGGTTTCCTTTCGGTTTATCCCATATTTTTTTTTCCCTCCATAGATTTCATAAAGAGATATATTGAAACTTTTGTCATAGGATAGAACTTTAAAGAATAGAATATATAAATTTAGACAAACATCTAATTTAGAACTACTACCATAAATTAGACTAGCAAGTTATACTAAATGGTGAGGAAGCCTTACCCCGCTAGGTAATATAACTTCAGTCTGCCGTCTTGTAAAATAGCTACCAATTTAAATTTGTTTAAACATTTTAAAGTTTGTATTATTCTGATTTAAAGTCAGTTATTTTACAAGGAAGTAAATTAAAAAGAAATATTCAATATTGAGAAATAGTATTTATTTTACCACAATATATGAAACAACTACAATATATTCTATAGTAAAACTTAATTCATGTATTTTGTTATAATATAAATTAATTCATATGTTTTGGTTACAGTTAGATTGCTTGGATCTTTTTATATTAAAAACACAACTAGGAATGTTTGATATATATATTGAATGAAAAACCTCATTACAATCAAAAAAAGAAAAATCTCCAAAAACCTGTGCTTTTAAAATAAAAAGATTTAACCTAATAAAACTAACCATAACTTATGAATTAGTTATACTATACATATAAATTGAAATATTTATTAATTTTCAGCTCATCAGGTCTGATTAATTGGGTTCTCTCCCTCGGTATTTGTCATATTTCTAAAACTGATAAAACTTGGAAATTATTGGACTAAATCACTTTAAGACATAATAAACATGTGATGCTTAAGATTTAGGTTCTAGGCTACTTAGGTCAGTTAATATGTTTCCTGGTAAACTACCATATGCATCTAAAAGATTATTCATTAAATTGTTAATTCACTCACATCTCATTACTAAATAACCACCACCCCACTGCTTTGAAGTTAACATAATTTTCCAGCATTAATTATGTGCCTTAACGAGAAAAAAAAGTTCTAAGTTCATTAAATAATTGTTTTGGTCTCTGCTTAAAAATTTTTGGAACAAAGTCGCTCAAAGGATACGGCCCTGTACTCCTACCTCCTGGACCCTGTTTTCAATCCGGCTGTGTCATATATTTATTTATTCTGTTAAATTAGCCATGAATCGACCCTGGGATTGGGAGACTCAATAGGTGGTCACCCTGCTTCTATAAAGTGGACAATTTTAATGGTAGGAAAAACCTGTCAGTTGGGAATCACCCTATGCAAATCATCTCATTGCAGAATTGTTGGTCGAGAAACAGTTTATTCTTGCAAAGTACAGAACCCAAAGGTATTGGATTGTAGTGGTGCAGTTAATTTTTATTTTCAAATAGTTACGTTTTTAAAAATACTTCATTATTTTTGTCATTTACAGTAAAACATTTTTCATGTTCATACAATAGATTACCTCTGAGGTACAGAAACAATTGATTATATCTGTTGTATATAGATTAATTTGCTTGGTATATAAATGTAATTATTATTTATCGTCTTCATTTAATCTGAAGGAAAAGACTGAAGTAGCTTTTATAGCTAACTCATGGACTATATGATAATGATAGCTGTATACTGGTTCTTATTTTATTTTCTTATTGTTTTAGTATATTTTATCAAAATTTGTAAATAGTTGTTTTCATACGGTGTTCACGGTCGCTTATAAACTATAATGTTGCAAAATTGAATAAAAGTTGTTATTTTAATAAATGAAAGTACTACAATTTATCAGTGAGTTTTTTATTAAAAAATAAAACCCACAGAAGTGTCACTTACCTATTTTAATGAAACTTTGCAGATTTGTTTATCAGCAAAGGTTCCCTCTTCACTGTTAAAATTCCTCTTTAAATGAAATGTTACCTCTCGCTTGTAAAATATACCCCAATATATTGCATATAAAGCATATGTACATAATGTGCAAGTGTATTATAGGTTTGTCATAAAAATAATACTTTTCTTCTGCCTTCTTCCCTTAGATGGCCAGGTCAGGAACTGAAATGAAGAGTGTAAATACAATAAAATGCTATTGTATTTGTATGTACATGGAAGTCAGTATATACTATTCAGAATTGAAACTATCAAGCAATCCTACTGCCAATAGAGGATTATTAACATTATCTAATCTTGGCTATTAGTTATAATATTTGGAGTTGCGATACCGTCAGATAATTTACTTATGCAAAATTATTTATATTAAAAGGTATATCAAATTTTATTATTTTTTTCCTAAAATGAATACCACATATCGATAACAGGATTGGTGTCAAACAAAGAAATCTGGTGTGGTGTATACATTACAACTTTCACTTACCATCCTATTTTGAGTAAAAATAAGTATTTTTATGTAAGAAGAAGTGATAAAAAAAAATTATAGACAGTATAAGATATTCATTTAACCAATATATATTTTAATATACGTGATTAAGACCCATTTTTTTTTTCTACAATATTTCAAACATTTAGCCCATTTTCAAGGAAAAAAACCTTATTTTAAAATAAAAAATCTTGTGTGGTGCACGCACAACTTTCATGTACCACCCTTTTTTTTGTAGCAGAAACAGATATTTTCAGGCAAAGGGTAGTAAAAATAAAATTTAGAGAAGTCAAAATATTATTTAAAACAATTAATTACCATATGCTTTTCACAGCTGTCTGATGTATTATATTTATTAGATCTGAGCATTTTTTAAATAGTTTATTTCTGAAATAAATCATATGATTATTTCATGAATGAATTATTTCTGAAATCATATTTTAAATTGCCAATTAAATAATGTCGATGAAATAACTACTAAATTTATTTCTGAAATAATTATTTCAATATTTTAACATTCATTGGAATAAAGTAGATTATTTCAAAATGAGTTATTTCAGATTTACTTATTTCATAAATAAATTATTGCAAAAATACATGGAATAACTATTTCCGAAATAACATAAATCCAACCATTTAAAAAATATATAATATTTAAATATATCGTATAAAACTACCCGATCAACATCTAATCTGCTGGTGACAGTAACCATAGGGTGCAATACCGAATAAACCTCCACCATCATCACTGCAATTAACGCGAGGTGTTCCTCACTCTCCCCGACCCTTTTCTCCATCTATATTAGTGACCTTCCTAACGCCATCCAACACTCCAATTACCACCTGTATGCCGATGATTTCCAAATATACCAATCATTCCAACCTTCTGAGATGCCTCAGGCTACAAGAGGACATCGACTGCATCAACAGATGGGCAGAAATAAATGAATTAAAGCTGAATGCAGATAAAACCAAGGCTATTATCATTGGGTCCAGACATCTCATCAGCTCCCTTCCTTACTTTCCTCTACTTTACCTCAATAACCATCCCATCCATTTTTTCCCACAGTCAAAAACCTAGGAGTAACCTTTGACCAGAACCTCTCCTGGGATAATCATATC